ATGATGTTTTTTTTTGTGTGAAAAATTACTACATTTGTTTCCTTTTATGCACATAATAAAACTTTACGTGAAATCAACAGTTGCAGCAAAGATGTCTACTGAAAAATAGACGATGCTATGCTATCTCTTGCCTCTTAGGTTTTGTTACAATGTCATTGTCAATCATACAAACGCTTTGTTAATAATGAACATTGATTGCAATCTCAGAAAAATTGCTACTTCCACATGAGTAATGCACAGACTTGGCCTAGTCCGGCTTTGAGCCTTTGACCGATGAGAACACAATTGTTCCGAAGGGTTCTCGGATCAGGTTATGGATGGACGGATAAAGAACTCGGTTCGGGCTAGAATTGTTCACGTGGTGGGCCAAGAAACCAGCAACGCCTTGTCCTTGATTAATGCATTTGCTAAAAGGAACTAATTATTATATACTACTACTTTTCAAGAAATGTTTTTGTCGTATCGCAAAAGTATATGTAGATAGGTAATGCAATGTCTTGCTTCGAGTTTGATGTGGTATATTTCTCAATTTCTTTAGGTTTATTTCTTATGTGGTTTATAAATACTAGTGTTAATGTGTGTTTTACGCTATAAAAAGAGAGAAGAAGAATTAAGATAAACACGAGATTATAAACTGTAATTGATATCAGTAACGAGTTTTTACATCGCTGTTTTGAAAATGTTGACAGCAAAACATTACCATTCCAATCAAGATATGTAGTTTAATAGTTTGAATTAATACCATTATATTTGGATTTAAACATTACTAGTATCATCTTAATGCTTTTGTTTTCCACGATTTTCAGAAATAACATTGTACTGATCTCTACTACTGTTTATCCTTCTTCAATAACAACAATATTAGAACCGACATTTAATTTTAATAGATCTAAGATTTAAATTTTGCATTAACTAGGACGATTTGGATTTTGATGAGATTGCAAAAGCCTAAGTCAAACTCAAAACGGTCTACATACACATAGCAGAGCACTAATACTAAGACATAGGTAAAACGAGTATCTTCTCATAGGCCATAATACGTACATAGGTTAAGCAAGTTAATACTAAGAATACCTCTAATGGAATAAGGATTTGCTAAAGTTGCTTACTCTCCGCATAAGCCTGCACCTGAAAATCAAACCCCAAGTCAAGATATGATGTTGACTCTTAAGTTCGACTTGCTAAGACTTCCAATCTAGGTTAAGATTGGAGATCTCACATCGAAAAGAAAAGAAGACGAGGCTTAATATATAAAAGTACCAGCTTGACGGAAACTCTCATGGTCATTATATTCATTTCACTTTGGACTGCCAAGTTCCCCTGCTTTTGTTCATAACTTCAGCTTGAATCCTTTGGATAGAAAATCACCCCTGAGAATGTAACATAAGATGTTTAAGCATGCTGATACATTTTATCATTTGCGACTCTATAAGATTTGCCTTATTGTCTTACCAATATCTAAAATTTTATTAAGGAATGAATCAAAACGAGTAAGAAAGCACTGGCTAGAGATAAGCATACCCCCTTTTAATACTCTTACGCGTCATTTGATCTTCCCGAGCTGGATGATCTCCTTTACATCCCAAAACAAGGCTGCTCACGAGGATTTCTGCGCTATATGGTCTATCGCAGTCTTTTATTCTAACCCTTGTAAACCTCTTACTCGCCAAATCAAACCACATGAGATTCTTTGCATCGTTTATCTCCAGCAAAATCTTGGTCCTGTCCTTGGAATAGAGCAAGGGTCTCAAAAGCTCAAACGATTCTACACTCTCCGGTTTCGGCACCCTAAACAGCTTAGTCCACGATCTCGAGTCTTCAACTTTATATTCCCTTAAAACCCAAACATCAACATGGTGAAACTCGTTGTAACACATCAAACAGAGGCAGCCATCTAACACACCTATATCCATATTATCTTCACAGTAAAGTTCTTGTGGGAAACTGAGCACTCCAAGCTCCTCAGAAGCCAAATCAAATCTTATTATCGTGTTAAAGGCGATAACTCCTTGGCTTCGAGGCAAAACCCAGTGAAGACTATTGCTAGCTAGAACACCATTTCCACGGCGATACAGGAGATGGTAATAGAAGTAGACGAATAGAATCTGAACCTCAAAATCAAGAGAGATTCGCTTCCATGAATTCCTCTTCAAGCTAAAAACTTTGATTTCAAAAGGGAAACCAAAATTCTCTTCACCTCCTTGACACTTACACTGAATCATCCTCACAACTTTGTAATCATCGTTCACCGAATCGTAACCGAATCCATAAAACACAAACTCTAGAGTGATCGTACCTTCCGGGAAATCAACAGGCTCGACCGGTAACCGGTGGATTTTCCGGCTTGATGGATTGAAAATAGCCATATCAGAAGGAGAGTTGGTTAAACCGACTAAACCGTTACACGAACCGAAAACCTCTGTTAGACCACCGGCTTGCAAAGGATGCTCGACGTCGGAGACTTTATCCGGTGAGTCGAGGTACACCGTACGTAGAATGCGAGGGCCTCGCAGCAAGATCATGAGATGATCTCCGGTTTCGAGTGTGCGACTGAGATGCGACGAGACGAACTCAGGACTGTCGATCAGAGAGAAGCACGGCTTCGAGAGGACGCGAAATCGGACCAACGTAGTCGCCGGGAGACGGAGGAAGATATCGTTGATGATATCCATCGGAATATTCGCCATCGGAAAGTACTCTGTCTCACTCTCTCACTCTCAGTGTGCTTGAGCAGCTCTAGGGATTCGTGATCTGAATATTCTTGTGATGTGATGGGCCTTTGTTTATCAGATAAGATACTTATTGGGTCAATACATTAGGCCCAATATGTTAGTTTTATGGATTTTGTGTTCATATGATATACTTGCACCTTTTCATAAGAATGAATTGTGTTCTAAAAATCTTTCACTAAAGACATGTGTCCAGCCTTTCGTTGCCTTACCTCTGGTTTGGTCTATTTCTCTTATACCAATGTCTCAAGAAACGGTGAGGATAAAGTGCCTATGATATGTAACCCTAGCACCGGAAGGTATACGATTTTACCTAAACTGAGATGGCATAGCAAGTCGTATGACTTTTTAGTGTTTGATCCTATTGACATATCCATATTTTGGTGATCTTAGAATTCTGACATTAGGAACAAGAGAAATGAGGTGGAGGGAGATTGATTGTCCCTTAGCCCGTTATCCTTGGTGTGAAGGGATTTGCATCAATAAATTTTTTCCCTTAAATATATATTTTATTAATAGAACGGTTACAAACTATGACCATAGTCCCGCAGAATTTAGAAGTAGATTACACAAAGTGTAAAGATAAAGTGACAACAAATGAAACTAGTAATAAATCGAGTCTTCCGCCTCGGTTTAATATAGATGTTTGTTCGGGTGATCGTTTTAGCCACGACCGCCTTTACCACGACCGTGATTTCCACGCGGAGCCGACTCAAAATGTAATAGCATCTCTTTAGCTTTTGTTGATGGTTTTACCGGTCTATCTCTAAAGATTCTTTTGCCCGATGGAGTCATCAAATCCATCGGGTCAGGATCTTCTTCCCAAAACCTGAGTTTCGTCATCACCGTCAGAAAGAAGCAAACCGGTTTGTACCTAAATCTTTGGTGGATGAAGACCTACGAATACTATGTCTGCTTGAGTAATAGGAGAGGAGACTTGTTGGCAAGTAGGGATCTCATTTGACAAGACGAAGGTAGTTGAACTGTTTTTGCTAACGTCACTTGTAGTCAAAGGAGAAGATAAACTCAATGCAGTAATCAATGAAACCTTGCAATTGACTTTGAAGGCAATCTCGAGAGTATCTCAACAATGAGATAAACCGGGAGTGAATCTGAAGTCATTGAGCTCGAGGATGATTGTTGCTGATCATACGGCGAGACTACATATAAAGGTTTAGGGTTTAGGAATTTTTTATAAAAAAATGTCATACTTCTAATTTAAATCTCATCACCGCCTCAGAGCATGATTATATGTAGTAAATATGTTGGAGGTAATATATAAATTTTATAATATTAATTGTATTGGGATTGATGA